GACAAGTCTTGCCTGTCCCAGGCCAATGCCAACCAGTACAGCAGATAGATGAGGCTGGTTCAGTCTATCAATTAGCCTGGAGAAACCCAGCTGCCAGTCCCTGCTCTGCCACTGACTTCCTGTTTGGCCCTGAGCATGTCACCTGGTGTCCATGTGTCCTCCCTCGGAGGCAAGCAGGGAGGGCAATGGGCATTTTGGCTCCTGGGGCACTCAGCCTGGTAGTCCCTGTTGTACCTCACTAGCCATGTGAAGGGAGCCCTGGCTCTAATGCCAGCACCCCATGGGCAGAGGGTTTTCTCTGGGACTTTGTAGCTCTGAAGCAGCTGTCAGGAGGAAGATGCATGTGCAGCTGTAAGGTTATGAGGACTGCAACCTTTTTGTTTGCCTGTGCTGTTGCCACATGTATGACCATAGGATGCCTCTGCCTTTAAATAGAGACGGGATAGGGGACTGATGGGTTTCTTGGTCATGTTTGGTGTTTTCCTTGTTCAATCCAACGTGCAAGGAAAAGGGACCGTATTTAATCTCTAGCTTTCCTGGCTCTGGGGCAGGATGGGAGAAGATGATTCCACTTTGGGCCTTCACATGTTTAAGATCTGTCTCCAGAGACCAGCATCTCTAAAGGCTTGGTGGAGTAGTACTGGGAGGTCTTTGAGATGCTATTCCAACACACTGCTGAAACATTGGCTGCACTACAATGGCCTTGCAATGAGGGGGAGGTGAGCGAGTCAGGGTCCCCAACACAATGTTAGCATCTCAGTTGGCTTGAATTAGTACTGCTTTGTCGGGAGTCCGGCTCTGACCGATGTCCCCCAAGGTCTGGCTGCTGGATGGCAGTGGCAGCAGTAAGTCCCATCTGGGTACAGCATGGCAATGGTTTTCCTTACTAAAATAACAGTGGCAGTCATAATGTCTTCTCCTTTTACATAACAAGGGAGGGGGGAATAAAAAGCATTCAATCATTTGAAGCAGTGACTTGTGCTATTTCTAGTAGAAATTGTGGTCCTGCAGTACTTAAGAGACACTGGGCTGGTTCCTGGAGTCTGTCACAGACTGATCTGGGTACAGCGGCTGGAGCCTCTCCACACCCCAAAACCCATGGTGGTCCCCTAAATCAATTGCCCAACGCTTCCTTTGCCTGAGGAAAAGGCCTGGAGGGGTTTTCCTCAGAGTTGCTCAGTGTGTGCATGTGATCTGCAGCACTAAGCACTCGCTAACCCAGATCTGCTAAAAATCAATAAAGTAATCCACTTACTGCTTGGGACTGCCAACCTTTTTAAGGAGCTCAGAGCTGTTTTGTTGTCTTTCCTCTTCCCTTCCTTCTGAGCTGGAAGCAAGAAAAGAGGGATGAGGAAGGGAGTGTTGGGAGACCTGGACTAAAATCGGGCTCTTTGCTCTGGGCAGATCAATAAAAATAATTCCCCACTAAAACTTCATTAGCATGGAATTAAAGCTGCTGAGATCCTGTGTGGTTGGTAAGAATTAATACTACTACTAAACCTTGGCACGGCTGGTGCTTAAAATGCAAAGCTGCTTTGTTGCTCACACGTCCCTGTCGCAACACTGCTGGGGCTGAACTGGCCATGCAGATGACTGTGCTCCTGCTCTGCCCCGTGGCTGCTCAGTGAGGGCACAGCCCTCTTGTCCAGCCTGAGGTCAAAGGACAAACCAGGCTGGGATGGTGGCGAGGTGCAACTCAAGCAGGTAGAAGCAAAACCGTTGTGCAAGGGTGGATTTGTCTCTCAAAACAGTAGCTCAATTCTGAATGCTGGTGTGGACTGGGGGTAGATGGCCCCAGTGTGTCTCTGTGGGGTGATGGACAGATGATGGGAAAGGTCTCTGGGTGGGTGCTGGACAGGCAGGCTTCCCATTATGCCAGAGCTTTCCCTGACCCCGGTTCAGAGAAACATCCCTCTGGCAGGCTGCGAGTGGGACTGCACAAAATAATTCTCCTCTGTGGAAACCTTGGATCTTATGGAGGGGGGGTGTGTGAAAATCACTTCTTTTGAAAACAGATTGTTTGTTGGGGTTTTTGATGGAAAAATGTTTCTTTCAGTCTTGTCAAGGAGGGAAAAAACTTGCCCTGCTGAGAAATCCAATTTTCTATCCAAAGATTGAAACAAGGCGCCTTGCAGCCAGCTCCTCTGCAGCACTCTGGGTCTCTGCCTGTAGGGTCTTGGGGCATCGCTGCCCCATGTCTGGGTCTTGCCTCCTGCCCTTAACAAGAATCCCCAGTGTGGCTGTTAAAGGACAGCACCAGAGGCAAAGCCAGCATTATCCTGAATTAGCAAACTTTGCATACAGGTTAGAAATCCCTGTGGTTGCCAGTGACCTGATGCCACTTGCATTAGCGCAGGGTCAAGAGCGTTTTGGAGGGACCCATAGGCACATGAGAGAGTGGCCAGGTGAGTGTGGGGCAGCACCCACAGAAAGAGAAGCTGTGCATACAGCTCCCGAACCTGTAAGCACTTGGAGGAGGGATGGCCCTTGCTGAGTGTGTTCACTGAGGATGTCCTCGTGTGTTGGGATGGTGGCAGGGGAGGACACAAGCTGGGCTGAACAGGGAGCGGGACAGGTTGTAGCACCACACAGTTAGATGCTGCTGTGTTAGTGCTGGTTATCAAGCCTTCTGGTCTAGCTTCCCTGGAGCTCATAGCTTGTGGCCTGCGTGCGGGGCATGTAAGCATGCTGCTCGGCTGCCTCTCCTCCTCTGAAACAGTTCTGCAGTGCCACTTATGTTTGTGCAATAAAACAAATGAGATGTGAAAGGTGGCCAGATAGAAAACACAAGAGCGATCTCTTCTGTTTGTATTCCCCCTGCAAGACTGCAGTTACTTGCCTTTTGCCTCAGTAGAACCTATGCTGAATACTGATTTATTTTTTTTTAACTGTGAGGAAAAAATGGTGCATATATACCTGGGCCACAGCTAATGGGCTGTGCAGAATACTGATACTGTTACCTGCAAACCTCGCTGCTCCTCACACCAATCTGGTTATCCATTCATTCTTCTACGTGGAGATGCCCTGCCAAATGTTAGGCTCCCATGACCAGATGAACTCTAAATCTTGGAGCTGCTCTGGTGTACTTGCTGCCATACTTACAGGCGTAAAGAGCTGTATGTCTGTGTCATGGTATCCTGATATTGCACGTTACCAGGTGTGCACACAGATGCAGAGTGCAAGTGGGAGGAAGCCAAATCACCTTTTAAAAATAATTTTAAAATTATTAATATGAAGGAGGAGGGGAGAAAACAAACACCCTTCCCTTATACTTTCTGGCTTGAGAGAAATGGGTACAGCAATGTCTGAAAGTGAAGGAAGAAACAGAGCTAACAAGAGTAACCTTTCCTTCTCCTGCACACACAATACCCCAGGGCTGACAGCACCTCAGTCAGCATCTACCTGGGCTACAGCTGGATGCCGTGAACAGCATGCCTTCCTCTTGTACCGTGCTTGGTGCCAAAGGGCAGCATGGGCCCTCAGGTGACCTGGAGGGGGCCAAGAGCCCGTAGGCCCTCGAAGGATGCCAGGCATCCTAATATGCTGTTCTTCCCTCTTTGTCTCACTGCTTGCATGGCATGTTCCTCATCCTGTATGTAGGAGTGGTTCGTGGTTTCCCTGGGGAAGGCAGAGCCGCCTCGCTAGCCCCGTGCCCCCTTTCTCTGCCATGCGGCTGGTGCCAACAGCAGGGCTGCAACCCTCCTCCTCCAGCACGCATGTAAGTCAGTGCAGACCTTGGTCTCTGCTTGCTTTACAACCTCGGGCAAAATTCCTCCCTCCTCCATTCCTTTGAGGTGACTTCATCTGAGGTCACCCAGATCAGAAACCAGAAACAGTGGGCTGTGCTATTCCCTGCCTCCCTGCCTCTCCCCAAAACTGCAGCAGTTGGGTAGGGGGCTTGCTGGGCAGGGAGCTGGGACTGCTCCCCCTCCAGAGTACCAGCCACTGGAGGAGACCGTGCTGGAGCCTGCATGTAGCTTTGCCCTGATCTGGCAACTGGCTGCTTGTTTTTGCTTATTTCTACCTATTTCCTGCAGTACTTCTCTGCTAGGGTGGGTCGGCATTAAATTGAAGTTGTGGATGTACATATGGGACTGTCTGTGAAGCCTACTGCATTCTGCTGCCATGGCTGTGAGCGTTTTACTGGCTATGTGGCACGGGTCACACGTCCTGACCTCTTCTCACCCTATACAGCTTTAGCAAGTAGCTAATGATGCTTTTTTGGGGGTGGTTCCAGTGTTTTTTGGACCCCTTTGGATGGGGTTGGGGAGGGGAGTTGAGCTTCCAGCTCCACCAGCACCAGGCAGGTCCTGGTCTTCCTCAGCTCTGGCTGTGTTTCCTAGGGCTGATGGCAATCCATCACTGCAGGGGCCACAACTTGATGCCAGGAGCACAGCCGTGCTTGATGTGGCTTGGTGTGGGATGGGAGCGTGGAGCTCTCTGCCCTGTGCAGCCTTATGCCAAAAGCGCTGCGATGGTTGTTGCACGTGTGCTTCAGCCTGGTTTGTCAGCCAGCCCATCCTCAGGGCACCAGCCCCTCCAGGCGAGGGTTGGCCCTTCATGTGTCTGGAAAACACCTCCACATGGTTGGGGCTAGTATAACTAATAAACTGCATCAAGTCTTCACTGGTGGAAAAGCAAAGCATCCCCCTCCTTCCCCACGATGCTCCTCCCCTAAACAACTTAACCTCCCCCCCTCCTCCCAATTTCTGATCTATACCGGAGCCGTCATGCATTGATCGGTGTCTTATCCGGGCGATTATGCTACCAGGACAGTCTGCTGTGAATTTGCAGGGAGCAGAGGCAGCTGAGCGCGGGAGCCAGCCCTGAGCAGCGGAGAACAAGAGCATGTCTCATCCTGGCGAGCAGCTGCTGCCGGCGTGAAGCGAGGATGAGGCCACGGGAGGAGGCAGCTGCCCCGGCACCCTCCGAGAGCCCCTGCTCCTGCACAGCTATGTCCCGACCCCAGTGGGCTGTGCCACGCTCTGGGCAGCTTTGAAGTTAGAGGCGGCAGTTGTGCTTAAAAAGGCAAGAGATGAACTGAAGATTAAACATGTATGGGAATTATCCTCACTTCATTAAGTTTCCTGCGGGCTTTGGCAGTAAGTATTTCACTTGCGTTTGCAATCTGTGCCTTCTGGGCTAGGTGGAGGAACTGATCCCACAGGAGGAGTATGGGGGGTGTAAAGGAAATTTAAAAACATGTTTAACCTAGCTCATATGTGGCTGTAACCTGTGGTGCCTGCACTTATGATTGAAGCTGTCCTGTGTTTACATGTGCTGTGAACTTCAGCACAGCCAAACTAAGCTGCCTGAAGTTATGCAGGCTTGAGTCAAACCATGGCTCTTTGCTCTGAAGTTTAGTACATGGCATTTGAGATGCATGTATATGTTTGTGAGCGATGGACTGAATCTATGCATTGAAAGAATAGGATCAAACCAAATAAGTTTTTTCCAATTGCATTTTTATTAAGTTGTTGGAGGAAAAAATTACTTTTAAAACATAAAACAGACCTCGAGGGAATCTAAAGAGGGCTCTTTCCTCGCCCGGTGGCTGTCTCCTGCCCTTCTGACACAGATACCACCATAATCGTGTGAAGCTGTGTCAGATTAGCCAAATGAGGCTGCACAGTGAGACCGTGGTCTGTGAAGGGCTGCGTCTGCGTGGCTGCGAGCTGCAATGCCCCTGTGCACGCCAGCCGTGAGCGAGCCCCAGTTGCAGAAACCAGAACTGCTCTTGGGAAACGGGCTTTGCAATTGCTGGGGCTCGCTCATTATTTTTATCTGAAGTTATTCCTCTTGCCCTAACATGGGGGATGATGTGTGAGGGGAATGAGTTGAGGAGCTGTAGGGTGCTCCCCAGCCTCAGCAGGTTGGAGTCCTGGGCTGCAAGGAGCTGGGAGCACCCATTTGTTGGCTGCTGGCAAAGTACTGATGCTGCTCCAGGGAAGCTAAAGTGCATTGTTGCTTGTGGATGTGCAAAGGCTTAATATCTCTGGAAAACTCCTCAAGTTGTTCCAGGCCCTTCAGGGTGGGTAAATGGTTCCAAGACTTGCTCTGGAGGCCCCCAGGCTGTATACATCAATCTGTCATTTCTCTGCTAGAGAAGAGGTTTGTGCAGACATTGGATTGTACATGGAATGTTCCTGCTATGTGTATATTTTTTTTCCTCCCTCTTGTACCAGATGCTCACCTCTGGTAATTCTCCAGCTCCAGAAAATCATTGGTATTGCATCAAGTAATTGCCAAGTTTCACAAGCGCTTGACTCCAAAATACCTTTTTTAGGCAGTTTCTGCAGAAAAGAGACGACTTGTTGGAAGAATCTATTGCTCACTGGTGTTTTTAAGGAACAAGCAAAGACAAGCCAAACTCTCTCCTATTGCTGCAATAAGAGTGAAACAATGGAAGTGTTATTTGTGTTTAATTTGAGTATTACAAATTTACAAGGAAGCGAAAGAAAAGTGACATTCAAACTGATCTTCATAGGAACCAGGCACAGATCCCTGTAGAGACAGGGGTCACAGCTCTCCGCAGAGCCTTTGGGAGATTTCTAGGAGAGGAAATTAGTAGTAGGAGCAGAGGTATTTCTGTTCCACCAGTGAAGGCAAAGGCACTATTCTTCAGCCCACTGACAGTTCAATACATTGGGACTTTAACTTCCATTTAAACGGATATTTACCTGGTGTTTTTTAACCTGCTTCTCACTTGGTTTAGAAAAACAGAGGAGTTTTCTGCAGGTGAACCTCTGACAGAGATGTAAAAGCATTGGCCAAGTTTTGTTTTGGCTGATGTAAAACAGTCACTCTGGCCTGTCCTGTGCTCCCTGAACACTATAGAACTGCAGGTCACTGCTCACATCTACACTCTCCTCAGGCAGCTTGAGGTGTCTGGGGGGCTGCCTCTGCCTGGGTTGTTGGGTCTGCAGAGAGGGATTTGTGCCTGTTTGAGAAGGCAATTGCTGCTCTGGCCAGACAACTTTAGGGCCCATGGGCTGTGTGAGAGGGTACTTGGGCTTTGAGAGGGATGAAGCAGGATGGATCATGGTGACCATTGGTGGAGATGTGTGTGGCAGCTTCCCACTGCCCTGGGATTCTCACCACAAAGCCTGTGCAGGCAACCTGCATCTCTGGCAGGCCTGCAATATGTTCATTGTCTCTGCTGCTCCCCCTTCCTTTAAAAATAGCTATGAAACCATTCCTTGTCCTGCCTGTGCTGTCACCATGAAGTGGGACATCAGGATGGTGGAAAAGGGCAGTGTCCACACTAGACTGTCAGCTTGTTGCATTCATTGTTCTTGCACTGTGTTGCTGGAGGGAAGAGTTAAGGTGATGTGGCTACTCCTGTTTGGTAATTGTATTCAGATTTCCTTTAGCTCTGAAACTGGGCTTCATTTTGAGCATAACAGTAAAAAAAGCGCATGTATTTGCTTTCTTCTTTTTTGCATTCAAGTAACTGTTACTTGGGCTTTAACTTAATTTTATCTGCATTCAGGTTGGAAATAAGGTGCATGTTTTTGATGGTGCATATAACTGTCACTTTGATCTTAAATGTCTGAATAACACCATCGAATTTGTCTGAGAATGTACATACACAAATTGGTAATAAACATATCATTTGCAATGAGAAAAGGACAGACTCTGAAGTGTTACAGATGAGCTTGCAGAGTAGCAGGGAAAGTGTTCGGGTGAGTCACCCTTACGCATCTAAAGCAGGAGACCTGCACTAAGGTAGATGGATTTGCCTTCACAGCCTGGGCTGTAGAAGCAAGAAAAGGGCTTCAGAATGTGTTTTTATCCTTCATAAGGATGCATTTCATCTGGAGCCTAGCTCCCAGGGCAAGGAAAGATGCTGTGCTGGCTGTCCTCTCTGAGCACTCTCTGGCACAGTTGGTTGGGGACAAGAACTAACTTGGCTCCTCCACAAAGTCTCTTTTATTAGTACTCATGTAACTTGGCCTGTGGCCACACCACCTCCGGCTGCAATCTTGTCAGCTCTCCCAGGCAAAGCAGGGTTAGGCCAGGTCGTTTGGGGAATAGGCAGAGTTGCAGAGGAAAAGCCAGGCTGTGCCTGGAGTGGGTTTGCTGCCCAGCTGTTTGATACCTTCTTGCCGGTGATGCTCCCAGGTTTGTGACCTGTAGGATGCTTTTTCCCTGGGTGTCACATCTTGCCATGTCCATACCTGTAACTGCATATATGAAGATGGAAGAGAGCTCTTTGACCCAGCAAAGGTGTGAGAAAATCCAGTGACCGAACAACTCCTGCAGCGAGGGAAATGCAGACTATTTTAAATTTTTTTGTTTTGTTTTGCTTTTTTAAAGCAGGAGACACTAGCCTTCAATTGCCTAGGGCAGCCACAGACCCTGCAGCTGGTGGGATCCTTTCTGATGGGGACCTGTAGCCTCTCCAGGAGTTTAAAGACCACTGTGGGAAATTGTGCATGTGTTTTCCTGGTGGATGCTGTGCTGGAGATCCTACTGGCCAGGTGGGAAATCTGATCACACAATCCTGAAAAATCCTTCAGGCCTCAAATTCAACAACTTTTATTTCTTTGGGGATGAGAAACTTTATCCAACTCTTAGGTATTACTGTGGTCACCAGAGGTGTGTGATACCTTGTTAGGGTAAATTTGGCTTGCAGTCCTAATTTGAATTAACTGACAAGCAGTTGTTAAAGGCATCTTTGGTTGGCAAGATCACCATAGCTGTAGAGTTACCCTGTAATGCATGGTTCCTGTCAAAGTAATGGTAAAGCCTGTGTAGCTTCTGTGGATTTTGCTCCTTCCTTCCTTTTTAGCTTGGCTTCCTGGAGAGGAGAATATGTGGTTACACTGCAGGTGTGTCTTGTCCAATGTCCTTGGACGTATTAAGCTATTGACCCACTGTCCAGTTTCAGCCAAGTCAGACCAAGACTTCAAAATAGCATCTGATGCTGAACCTGCACCAGGGCAGGTGGAAGTTTCGTGTGCTTCCAGCCCGCTGCTTCCTGTGGGCCATGTTTTGGGTGGCCCGTGTTTGCAAGGGCAGCACAGGAGCATTACCTGAGAGAAGGGGGAGCAGCTCTTCCTACCATCCAGAGAGCTGAGGGAAACTTTCTCCTGCTTGTTTGTCTCCTGCTCTGTGCAGATCCCTGTTGCAAAAGCCCCTGCTCAAATATGTGCCAGCACATCTCCAAATTTTCTTGCTCCTCTGTAATGTTAGCTGTCAGGGGAAGGCTGCATTATTTATTGACTCAGTGTTGAGCGGAAAGATGGAAGCACAAAGGTTAGTGGACCTTAAAGGTTATTGTTTTTGCCTTGCTTTTCTGTAGGATATTAGCATGGCAATCTGTATGGCCTGTGGAAATCTGCTTGGACCATTAAAAATATCACCGGAAAGGGAATAGTTTTTTCAGTTTAGCTTCAATGTATTAAATAAACTACTTCTGCAGTCATAGCAGCAAAACTTTGTTTGATTCCAGTTAACATGGGTTCCCTGCTACATGACTGCATCCAATTTCAGGAGTGTTTCTCACAGGTATTTCCCCTTGAAGGTTGTCCCCAAGGACGAGCTGCCTGCCAAGCTGTACCTCCCACGCACGCCTGTGCTCCTCTGCTTATATCAGACCTTCTCTGCATGTCTCTTCCCACTTCTCGGTGCTCTCTGATCTGCGGAGGATGGAGTATCTGCAAAGTTTTGCTAGTCATGTGTCAGGCAGGGCAACTTGCACCTTCAGTTGTTCATGCGAATGAAATGAACCCTTCCCATGCATATGTGAGGCTGCAGAAGCACAAGCATGTTTTCCATTATTTGACGAGTTTGATTCTCTCCGACGTTAAAAAAGAGCACTGTGAAGGTTGAAAGTATCGTCATCTCTAGGCCTCCCAGGGATCTGCACGTTTCACGAGGTAGGATTGCTTTGGGTCTTAGTTGAAGACAGACCCCAGTGTTTAACACTGATACCTTTCCTCTCAAGCCTTTGGTAGGTGTTAGAGCTGAAGAGGCTCTAACAGAGAACAAACTTGCAACCCATGTTGGTTAAATAGACAGTGTATGTAGGGCTTGAATGTTTCTTGTCTCTGTGCATTCTCAGTCCACTTTCTGCTCAAGTGTAACTGCTGAGACTGGTGTTTCCTGCCGTTATTTGGGTGAAAATCAATACGGCTTTATTGGTTGCAGCCTGGACTACTGCCTTTGCCAAGGCTTTCGCGGTCACTTGTGTATTCTTGTGGGTAGTATTTGCTTCCACGCCTGTCCGAGCTTTACCTGTGGAGTGCTCACAGCACAGATGTATCTAAGCTGGTTTTATTGAGCTAGTGTTGGTCCTGGACCAGTTTAACTGTGTTAGCACAGACCTCGCTGTTTGGTGTTGGTATGATGGACCTGAAGCTTTGTGCTCTGCAGGTGCATTTGTCAGGCACCTGTGCATCTGCTGTGATGTAGACGGTGTCAATCTATGCCTGGTTTTATGAGACTATTCATGCAAGTTTCCCATCCCTGGACTAGGATTTTGCTAAGGTGAAGGTGAAACACAGGTGGAAGTGGAGTATCAAAGCTTTGTGTCCTTGCTCGGCTTCAGTGGCTGGTGGGTGAATGTAATGCTGTTGCTTATGTCCTCAGGGGCACTGTTTTCACAATGCAGAGATCCAGGTGGTTCTTCAGATCTTCCCTCATTATGTTTTCTAATGTCAGCAGAGTTGTCTATGCTGATGTTGGATATGATCCTTATTCTGAATGCTAAGGCAACAGGATGGGTTAGTCCAACCCACGGGCTGTTCCCTGCAGTAAGTGATGTGGTACATTTGCAGAGAGGCAGTCTGAAACAGCAAAGCACCCAGAAGCGAAGTTTCTTCTTTTTAAACTTTGCTTCCTACAAAGAGAAGGCTGGAGCGTGTGCGTTTCTGTGCAAGAGAGCTTGTGAAGGGTTAATTGAAGCACTGGAGCACTGGGTTCTCTGGGTGCTGCATGTTTGCAGTGGAGACATCAGAGAATACACATAAGGCAGTTCCCTCCTGTCCTCTCTTCCCCTGTTCCTCCAGGAGAGAAATAAATACAGTATCAGGCTTCCCTGAACCTCTCTTCAGGAAACTACCTATGCAAGCATTAATGTGGAGGAGGGAGACAGGAGAGAAAGCCATAAAAAGCCCTACTTGTAGATCAGAAATAAGCCGGTCATGAATCTGGAGTTGGTAGTTAAAAGCAGTAGCAAGCCCTGATGCAGGGTCTCAGCCAGTCTTCCCCAGCAGACGCGAGGGACCTGGCCAGTGTGGGAGCTGCATTCGGCGCTCGCGGGCAGGGGCTGTGCCAGCCGCAGAACCCTCGCCTCCCAACGCAGGGCTGCCCTCTGCTCCGTGGGGCCCCACCGCAGCTGGCTGAATCCCCGGCATTGCTTGTCACCTCACATTACCTGACGGACAGATTCCAGGCCCGCTTTGTCCTGTGTAAATGTCACCTGTGTCGAATGCTGCTGGAGAGGCGGAGGCGGCCGGCTGTGGCTGGCACGCAGGACTGAGTTCCGTCTCCCCAGTCCCCTCTGCTCTGTCCCAGAGCTGCTTCCCAACCGCAGAGCGGCTCCTTGCTGGTCCTGCTCTGCTGCCATGCTGATGTTTCTGTTCGTCCCCCCAATGATGGGAGAAAATACCTTGAGGAAAGCCATGCCATCCCTGCGAGACCATGGCCTTTCTCTTTGCTTTCTGTTGGGAGGTGCATGACACTGTTTTCAACCAAAATGAATAGGACTTGCGGTCTCTGCTGTTTCCTCTGTCCAAGCCAGCCTGGCTCCTTTGGACTGAAATGACTCAGCTTCGGGAATAAGTAACCCCAGTGTCAAGGATGCTTTGGCATGGCTTTTCCTGCACACCTTCTGCCAGCTGTGCGAATTATTCCACGCACAAGCTGATAACTCGGAGCATTCACATCTTGTATCCCTCTTGGAGCATTCCAGCCTGAAAATGAGAAGCTGAGAGGAGGTGTGCATTTCCCAGGTGTGGGAGGGTGCATTTCTGCTCCCTCAGGGATTGACTTGGCAAACTTATCCCAGGGAAGGACTGGAAGTCAAAGTTAGGACCACCTTGCAGGAGTGCTTTGCTTTTTATTTTTGTTTGTTTGTTTCTGCTTTTCTAAATGGGGTTTGTATTACAGCTTATAATAAGTGGCTAAAATTGTTCATTGGTAAATGGAAAGCTAACACTGGTTTTGACCAACGGGTCTGTCACAGCCTTGGCAGGACAGCGTAGCCCAGGCACTGTGGAAACAAGCTTGTTAACTTTGGATTGTGTTGTCAAGCCCTGGCAGAGCCTGGCCTTACACCTGCGTGCTCACCAGTAGATACTTTCTTTTATCCATCCATCTCCACCAGCCAACACACCTTCATGCATTCATGCTTTCTCTTTGGTGTCTCATTGCTGGGGTGAGAGAAGTAGGCACAAGTCCTCCAGGCTTCTTGGCTTCAACCCTTGATACCATCTTGGGGGGCTAGGAGATTCCCCTGGCCATATCCCTTGAACAGTTGCCTGTTGGCATGGACACAAATACACCATGGGGCTTCCCCTGGCAAGCAGTCTCCTTGGGTGAAAGCCTTTCTCTGGGTCCTTATGAAAGTTGGAGCCTTTCTAATGGAGAAACTTAGTGGTGACGGTGTTTCTGTAAGGTCTGCTGTAAATGCAAACAGTAAAATAACTCTCCTGGGAGTCTTCTTATTGGTTTAAATCTTCTGCATGATACTTTCAAAATATGCCCTTTTCTGTGTTAATGGAAAAGGATGAAGAATCATTCTTGTCCTTAGATGTGATAGATTTCTGCCCAGTCTCCCCTTCAGTGGTTTATTTTCCAAGCTGAAGAATCCTCAAAGGCAGTGTTGTTTATCTAGTTGTTTAAAGAGGCATAAAACCAATTTCTTTATAAGCCTGTGCTACAGATGCTGGGGAGGGCTGCATGCTATGGTACTAGGCTACTCACAGGTGATGAAAAACACATTTGCTTTTCTCTGAAGCTGGTAATGGCACAAGTCAGGATGTTTCTCTTAAGTCCCAGGAAACAATTGAGGTTCCTCTGTGAGCTGAGTGTTTAGGTAAGGGGGGGGTCAGGCAAACAGCACATTTTCTGACCCCTGCTAAGGGCTTTCCTGGCAGCTGTCTTTGGGGTGGAAGGCTTTTGTACTTGGAAGCCATTACAAGGTCAGGATTTTGCTGTCTACTGAGAGAAAACAGGCTGCGTGTCTCCACGGTGGTGGCAGGGGGATGTGAGGTGAGTCTCTCTAGCAGCAGGCAGGAGCCCTGGCTCTGCCTTCAGACCGCCTCGCTGCCTCCAAGGCTTCTGCTGTTGTCATTGAGCCGGCTTCCTCTTGCTGCACATCACTTTCCCACTGGGAGAATTGATCCAAAAAGCCAAAGCAAGAATTGACAAAGACCTTTTCTGCCCCTCCTTCTGCAGAATTAAGTCTGAAGTGGGTTGATAACGGCGGATCGAGTCCACCTTGACTCTGACAAATGTCTTTAATGTTATTCAGCAAGCTGACCTTTTCCCGTCTTTATTGTGCATCTTCCCTTTGAATCAGATTTGATTGTTACTTCAGGTAAAATAACGAACACTGTCACGTAAATAACTTTGCAATAATGTTAAAAGGAGGAAAAAAAAACAACCAAACAAAACACCAAAGTGCTGTCTTACTTGCAAATGCAACAGGAGCAAGCATCCTCTGTGCCAGCAACGGAAAACCAACTGTGTGACCTTCCCAGACACCTTTGCCTTGCTACTCCAGGGAATGGTCTCCTGTGTTGAAAAACCAACAGAGAAACAATGGTTCATTGAAATGTTTATGACAACTAATGCTAACTGGGGTTTCTAAATTCTAGGGGAGGGAGAAAAGGTCATATAAATCCCTAAAATACAGCTAGATACATAGCCCATCAGGACTGGTGGGCATTTGATGCCCAGATACCCTATGAATATTTGAGATTGGTCTTGCAGAAGACAGCGTTTAGGCCTTGGGAGAGGTGTTCAGCCTGGGAGATTGCCCTGAAGTGGCAATGATCAAGGTTACATTGCTTTTCTATGCCACCTCTTCCCCAGCAGGGTTCAGGCGTAGATTGATCTCATGGGGCTACTGCGTGTCTCAGTTTGGCAATGTGCACTGGAGCTCCTTTCCTTGTGGCTGTGAGACTGTCGGTCCAGGCACGTCTGTGCGGCCACAGTCTCTGCTCCATCTTGTACTAAGTAAGGAAAAATAATGGACAAAATATTTTGTGGGTGCCTTGTCGTGTCATCTGTGTTGCTAGCATGTCACGGGCAGTCTGTGTCCCATGTTCCTCTAGCTACTCCTGAAGATGCTAGCATCAACTTCTGAGAGCTGGAGGAGTGTGTGAAATAGCGGAGAGGTAAGTGGGTGGGAAGGGGAAGAGCTGAGCCATGTGAAGAGGGGCTGAACGTGATGCCTGGACCATTGCAAGGAGCAAGGGTGCTTCGTAAGGCATGGAGACTGTTTGGGGCTCCCAGCCTGGCTGGTGGGGTTTTCATGGTTTTGGATGTGTGCTGTCTCTAGAGTGAGCTTGGACAACAGAAATGGGACCTCAAGGAATAGTTCAGAGAAAACTAGCCTGAGGCAGGCAGGCACTGGTGCCTTCTTCCAAGTCAGCTGAGGGACCGAAGTAGCGAAGGAAGATTTGATTATTAAGTATTATCTTCATAATATATTTTGTTGGTGTAGCAACTCTATTTCCTGTACCATAACCAATGTTTTGCTCTTTCAAAAAAATTATAGAATAAGGCACGTTTGGTGGCTGGCATTGAGCCTTGGCCAGTATCTAAGTTGACATGACCAAGGCTGGGCAGCTGATCACTGTACAGCCAGGCTCGCTTGTAGTGTATTTAATCTTTCTGTGTCTCCCTGTAGATTCCCCTGTTCACGCCAGCTCCACATCTGTGAGCCCATCGTCAAGCCTTTCCACGGGAAATTCAGTGGACGGGCACCACAACTACCTCGAGGCCCCTGCGAACGCCTCCCGGGCACTGCCGTCCCCCATGAACATGATTGGATCTCCGGTGAATGCACTGGGCTCTCCATACAGGGTCATCGCGTCCTCCATCGGCTCACACCCTGTCACTTTGTCCTCAGCCCCAGGCATGAATTTTGTGACACATGCCAGTCCACAGGTAGGTTAATGTGCATGCTTGCTTTGCTACAGTTCGTGGTGCTGAGACTGGGGTACAGCCCAAAAACTTGAGGGAGTGGGTTGACTGTGTTGCATATAAACATTGTCTGTGTTGCATATAAACTTTGCCTGGAGAAAAACAAAGCTCCCATCGTTACTGCCTGAGCTCGCTCAGGTGCTGAGGTTTCCCCTCCAGACAGAGGGGAGACCCAGGGGTTGGGGTCTGTGCCTTCCCAGAGCCATGGATGGGCTGGGAACCTCCAGGGTAGCTGTTTGGAGCAGGACTTGCTGCCTCAAAAGCCCACCGCTACTTCTGACATGGCTGGAACCAAGGTGGCACAGTGGGATTTTGTTTGTGTGATGAAATGCTCTGCGAGTGCAGATCCAAGTGGAAATTCTGCCTTTTATTAACAAGACTTTGCATTTTATTAGTGGGACCTGAAGGCAGGGAGTACTCGGGAGCCTCGTGGCTCCTGCTAGACATGGTTGCTGAGGCCTCTCTGCCCCAGGCCCTGCTGCCCAGTCTCCACGGTCTGTCTGAAGCCCTTCCTAGTGCCTGCCACTGAGGCTGGGAGAGGATGGTGTGGGGAGGCCCCTGAAGAGCTCTGAGGGAATGTAAGGGTGATTTGGCTTACCTTTCACCAGCAACCTCAACTCCTGCTTGGGTCTAGGCTGTCTGCAGTGGGTGCGCTGGGCATCTTTCCTCCCCTCGCACCACTCAGCTGTTCACCATCAACTTGACATATTTGTACTTGTGGCATCCAGGGCAGGTACTTCGTGGTGACGGAGGTGGTAGCAGCATTTAGCTGCATGGAAGCTGTTCCTCTGGGTCTGCGGATGCTCCGGGAAGCGGTTTCCCCAGCCCAGGCACAGCGCCAAGTTCCCAGCTCCAAGGAGTGGGTTTCATGTGTGTTGCCTCTAATGCAAGGAGACAGCTGGGCCTTGGGGATTCGGCAGGGAGGCAGCTAATGGATTTGGGTTCAAGCAGTTGTCCCAGATATCATACATGATTGCACTTAACCTTCAGGAGTCAAGCTCCGAGGACACTGATGACTAAAACTGCCCTGTTTTTCCCCCAACTTAGACCCTCTCTCCCTGTTATTGTCTCAAAGCACATCCAGAGAGAAAGAAAAGGTGGTACCTGAACTCTCAGTAACATTTTAAACCATAAAAAGTTCTTCCTGGCTCAACATCTTGCCAAGAAGTTGTTTCCAGGGTGAAAAAAGGTGTCTGGATACTTGTGGGGAAGGAGTTGATTTCTCCTTTCCTTGGGCCAAGTTCAGATGTTGAAGCATAAAGATTTACCTTTGCCCAGTGCCTGGGCTGTGTCTCTGCTGGGGAGAGAGAACCTCTGGGTAATTTTTTTTCCTCTGCACTTTCATTTTCCAGTGCAGCAAAGCAAGCTGGCTCCTAACGTGGTAATTATTGCTGGATAATTTGTATTTTCAATGTCATCAGACCATTGAAGCTTTGAAATTGAAGGGACAGGGATGAGAGAAGATAAAAACAGGCTTCATCTTTTTTGTTTTTGTAATGACAGCTCCAAAAATTCCAATAGGATGAACGCTTCTTGTTCTTTGCTGAAATTCCCTGTGGAAATTATTATACTTTTTCATGGGAAATGGGCAGTTTCTTGGAGCAAATGGAGAACTTGTAACAGCATGCATGAAATCTAGTGGTTTTAGATATTACGGAGACTGTAACGAAGGCTGTCGATGGATTTTCATCCAAAGCCTTGTTTTCTGTCCCTACTTCTTCCCTCTTGCTGGGAAGATGAAATTTAGCTGATAAATTGGGGCAGCTGTTAAAAACAAGCTCAATGATGAAGAAACCATCCCCAGCCCTCAAAGCATGGCAATGGGAAAGATGATTTGATGGTCATTTTGGAGAGACGTTGCTCTGCCCAGACAGCTTTTGACAAGACGTGCTCAATGGCCCTTAATCCTCACTGCTTTGCCGGCAACAGCTCGAAAGCAAATAGCAATAAAATGAAGCCCTGGGCAACATCAGGCTTTCGTCTCTAATCGATGTCGGTTTGTAACCTTTAACTTGCAGCAGCCGTGAGCAGCTCCTGGGGATCTCAGCTGGGGGCTCCGGGCTGTTCGCCTGCATCTCACTGCAGCTGATTTTTTTTTTTCACTTTTTTTTTAAAATCTGGCAACCCCAAATCTGTTCCCTTCTTCAGCCTGTGATAGTGTTTAGGAACCTGAGCCCCAGGGAATGACCAAGATGGCCATGTTTTAATGCATTTATGCAGATTTGCGTATCATGAGGCAGGGAAGCTAACCCACTTAACACTTTTTAAAAAAAAGTCATTACAGCTTCCTCAGCCGTGCAGCAGTGCAGGTTTAATTGCAACAAATTGCCTGGCTGCAAAGCTCTTCCTTGCTAAGCTGTTAGTGCTCGAGGCCACAGGCAGCCATTGATCAGCATTTGCTAATGAAGCAGGCAGGATCCCACCAGCCCCACCACTTGGAGGCTGTAACTGAGCAGCTGAGGGTTGCTGCCTGCCCTTTTCCAGCTCTGCTTAGTCCTGGCTTTAGTTACAGCATCAGGGCAGGGTGAGAGGCAATATCTACTACCAGGCATCTGATTAAACCCCTCCAGCTGGATTCATGGGAGGATCTCTGTTCTGCCCATGGCAGCCCCATGGAGTTGCTGGGGATAAGCTTGTGGGACGAGCCCAGCAGGGGCAACAGGGGAGGGGTCAGCTCAATTTGGGGGTGGTTTCATTGAGGTATGAGTATTGACCCTCTAACCTGTCTTGTGGCTTGGGCTTCTGCAGCTCAATGTCCTGAACAATGTCAGCAGCTCGGAGGATGTCAAGCCCTTGCCAGGTCTCCCAGGGATTGGGAACATGAATTATCCATCTACAAGCCCAGGATCCTTAGCCAAACACATCTGTGCCATCTGTGGGGACAGGTCCTCAGGTAGGAGGTTTTCTTTCTTGGGGAAGGCTTTATGTAACGAAAACTCCCCTGATGCTCTGAAGCGTGGCTCCTGGAGGAGTGAACACTGGAGGCTTGCTGGGGCCATACCGGCATTGCAGGATTTCGTAGCTGGCTCTGGCTTACCCAAGGGCAGGCTGTCTGTTTTGCAGATTAGTTGTGCTGTGCCCAAAAGAGAGCAAACCTATAAGCCGCACTCTTCTCTCTTATGTGTATAGTCTCATTTTACATTTTGTCCCTGTTTATCAAACGTAAATATATAAAAATCACTGTGTTCTTATTTACCTGTGCTTTGTGTTAGCTGGGCTTTGGCTGCGCCTGGGTTTTCTCTCCTCCACTAGAGACCTGGAACCTGGTCATGCCTTGCAGATCTCCTCCATATCAGTGCACCCCATTTGCTACCTATGCCTTTGCTGCACTTGCAGTGCAGCCAAGAAGTGGCTCCACATCCTTCCCCTGGGATGCAGTCCCTCCTTATCACAGGAGAGTGGTGGTCCTATAGTTTGACTGCTGCTGGTCACTATTCCTGCTAAGAGCCACTAAAGCCAAGGCAGGCCTGCTAAGGTGATACCCTGCAAACAGTTGGTTATTTTTTTTCTTTTTTCACCTTTGGGGTTGGTTCAAACTTCTCTGTGCTGGAGGGAAGGGCAGATGCCTGCCTGCTCACTGATGGTCTTCCCTTGCCCCCGCAGGGAAGCACTATGGGGTGTACAGCTGTGAGGGCTGCAAGGGCTTCTTTAAGAGGACGATTCGGAAGGATCTGATCTATACCTGCCGTGACAACAAGGACTGCCTCATAGACAAGCGTCAACGCAACCGCTGCCAGTATTGCCGCTATCAAAAGTGCCTCGCAATGGGGATGAAAAGGGAAGGTATGTGTGGGCTGGTGGAAGGAATGGGCTTGTGGAAATTTTCTTCACATTCCTTAGGGTAAATCTGGCTCTTGGTGGCCCCTATGAGGCTGGATCATTCCAAAAACCCACACTGACAGCTTCAGGGCGTTTTTGACCTTGTTTTGTAAAGGAAATGAGGCTGATGGGGAAGCTATTACACTGCATTTTTCTTTCTATCCCACCTAAACACACATACTGGTGACTGTTGAACCTATTAACTGATTTTGGCTCAAGCTTGCCTTTAGTTAGTGGCCCTTAATGGCCTGGACCCCTTGGACCCCTGTAATGCTCTGCTGAGGACAGCACCTGGCAGGGAGAAGTCCTGCAGTCTGCTTGTCTCCTGTGTGAAGGGCAACCTTCTCTTTCATTTTCAGCTTGCTGGCTTTGTTTGTCACCACCTAATTCTTGCACTGGAAGATAAGGGTGAATGATTTATTTCTATCTTTTATTTTATAGTTCTCTGTCATTTCTACTCTTAACCTCACTTTTGGGGATGAGCTGTGGTACAGCTGTGGTGTTTCTGTGCTGCAGGAGAGAGCTGTATGGAAGCAGTTCACACAGCCTCTTCCATACTGCACATGCTCTCATTGCAACCCCCAAAGGGCTGTGTTTCTGGCCCAAACCACGTTAAGGTGTTGATCTGGAGCAAGAATCTGACCTGAGGCAACTGGAATTAGAGGATTTTTGCACTGATTTGGAGGAAGCCTCTGAGAGCTGCTGAGGGTGACACATGTCCCTGGTGGGTCCTGCAGCCCTGCCTCTCTCCCGCACAGCTCTGGAGAGTGCAAAGTTCTTTGTAAAAGCCACCACCGAGTGAGTCTCTGCTGCAGGGAAAAGCAAGCCCAGTGGCGTGGGTGTTTATCTGTCCACCTCTGCCTCCTGCAGCTAGCTGCTTCCTCCTTGGTGGAGCAAGGACCACTGAGCTGGATTGTTTCCCAAATTAAACTGACAGATGCAAGGTCAGGTAGTGACAATTAGCACAGCTTTTAAGCTGCTTTTTTCCAAGACAAAATAATTGTGCTGCCTCCAGGGTTGAATGCAAGCGGGCAGTGTAGCCCTCCCTTTCGGAAGCCACACTGTCTGCCTGCGGAGCACACAAGCCGCTCCCTGTGTAGGGGCTCAGACTGTGCAGGGAGGAGCCTGGGGAAGTAGCTGTAACACTGGGCACAGGCTGAGCCTCGTCTTGTTCTCTGTGTAGCATCATCAATGCTGTGCTGCGTCAACCACATAGGGCAGCGCAGGACTGCGAAATGCCAAGCTTGAATCAAAAAAACTAATCCTGGGAACAGCTCTCCCTTCCAGCTGGGTGCAAAGTGGTTCAGAGGACCAGGGTGTCAACGCAACTTCCTTTTGCAGAGCGTGAAAATTTGAACCCCAGGATCTTGGTGGATTCTGTGGGAGTTTGGCTGCAATAATCACAGGAGTTTTCTGGGAGATGCAGAAACTGGGGACAGATTGCAGCTTGAACAAGGAATCCGGAATGAATTTGGGGACTGAGTGATGGGACTAGTATTTCCTTGGCATGCTCTTTCTTCCAGTAAGATTTTGATTACTTTAGAAACACTTCCCTAGCTTCTTCCTGTCCATTACCCTAAAGGGGACAAATGCTTCCCCCAGCTGGCTGGCACATATGTGCGTCCTGTGTTGCCCTCCCTTGCCAGTGCCAGACTGGATGCCCCACTGAGCCATCTCCTTGGGTACTGCCAGTTCCCCAGCAGCTGGGCAGTGCTGGGAAGCACATCCTCCCAGCTGGAAGAAACATAGGGAAGCGCTGAGCATTGCAAAGTGGTCATGAGTCTCAGTGCTGAGGAACCTCCCATGGTTTAGCTCTTCCTGTGAAAGCACCATAACATAAGCCAGGGTAAGGCAAGGTTGATGCAAGGTCTTATTTCCTGACACCACTGCAAACAGCAGAGCTATAAAGACAAACGGGGAAAAAATCTCCCGATCCAAGTTTCTGACCTAAACGCTTGTCACCTTCTTTCAGCAGCATTTTAGCTAACTGAGAAAATGGGGATCAAATTCTCCTGCAGGCTTGTGAACTGTGGCCTTGGTGAGCTGGTCCCTTCCTTGGTGTCCCCTGGTGCTTCTGTAGGTCCCCCTCTCCTCTTAAAGAACTTATCCCTTGGCCTTGGTGATTTTCCCACTCTCTGGATACTGACTGCCTGGTGCTTAGCTAACAGGTGGGGAAGCCATTAAGATGTTGAACAGCAAAGCACCAATGTCTGCATGGCAAGGGCCAGCTTTGCAGCCTGCTTCTCCCTCACTGAACCTTTCATTTCAGGTGTATAAATGCCTACAGCTCAGTACAGGTTGTTCTTTGAGACCAGGCCAGCTGCCTACCTGTCCCTTAGGGGTTACAGGGCACTTTGGGCCCCTGCCCATGCTCCTACAGGGGAGTGATGCCAGCAGAGCTGGTGTCTTGGGGCATTTCTCCTTAGCAATGAGCTAAACTGATGACATCTGCTGGTCACTTGTCTTTTTTTTTTTTTTTTTTTTCTTTAGCAGAATTTCTTTATTTTCCTTTGGGATTTCTCAAACAAAACTCTGCACCCAGGACTTGTGCTGAGCACAAGTCTTAGTGTTCCATGTACGCATGTCCTACACTGGCCTGTCTTCCACACACCTAGTGGCCCTGGGAGTTAATAGCTGAGATCTGGAGAGAATTTCAGTGACTCTGTTCCTCCAGCCAGTAGATATTTTGGAAAATGTACAGAGATGGGAGAAGAGACCGAAGGCCTTTGGGCATTCAGAGGTGCTGGGAACTGCTTTCTAGCAGGATGGCTTGGGAGGACTGGTGGCGGAGGGAGAGGTGACACCGGGGCTGGGCCAGGCTTGGTAAGCTTTTGCTGAGGAATGAGATAGGCAGCATGAGTAGATTCAGCTGGGAGTGAGGGACCATCCAGCCCTGCTGCTGGATGTTCTGGCTGCTGTGGGACTGTTCGAAGCATACGGGGAGTGCAGCAAACCTCAGTGTCTGCGTGCTGGGTCCCTCCTGCCTTCTCCAGCATCTAGTGACAGCTGAGCTCAGGCTGCCACCTGGAGGTATCAACTCCTCTTTCCTCTATTCTGGAGCTTCATACCTTGGAAATCACAACTTTTTGTCAAATTGAGGCTGCTGGTCTTCAGCAACCCCGAAGTTATTGGGAGGTGGTGGGGGCAGCTATTTTAATGGATGTACATCTGAAATACCATTTATTTTCTGTTCTCCCCCTCCTGAGGAGATTTCTCATCCCTTCTCCCAGTGGAAATGGGACCTACTGTGAGCAGGTAAGTGTTGCGGTGGGTGTAAAGAGCCGTGTTTCTGTCCCGCAGCTGTGCAGGAGGAGAGGCAGAGGAGCAGGGAGCGGAGTGAGAATGAAGCTGAGTCCACAAGCAGTGGCAGCGAGGACATGCCTGTGGAGAGGATCCTGGAAGCTGAGCTGGCAGTCGAACCCAAGACAGAGGCATACAGTGACCTGAACACAGAGAGCTCAGTAAGGGGCACCAAAATCACTTGCAGCTTGAGATGAGAGCCTTCGAGGTGCTGTTTGAAAAGACAAACCCCACTAGCATTTTGCAAAGGGGTGTTTTTGCTTTGCACTGCCTAAAAATCACCCACAATTTTTCTTTTGAAGCTATTCTGAATGACAACTAGAAAGCTGCCTATACATTATTTTCATAGCATTTTTTTCCAGTTCCCTTTTGTTTCAATGAATAGATAGGGCAATAGCTGGATGCTGGAGAGTCTTGAGTCCTGTGCTGGCTTCCACAGTTGCACAGCCCTGGGCACTGCTTGTCTGCCCCAGTGACCAAGACTAGAATGGAGCTGGACACAGCAGGTTTACTGCTGTTGTTTTACTGTTCATGCCTGTTCAGAGACTGCTTTGATGGCTTTTAGATGTGTCTTGGGGAGCAGTACTTGCTTTGCAAAGAACAGCAAGCAAACAGAAATGTCTATCAACCAGCTGATTTGGCTGGTTTTAGAGGGGACAGTAGTAATAAATATCCTCTCTTCCCAGCAGTGCACAGCTGAGATTATTGGCAATTTGATCATTTTACTTGTGGCTCTGACTATCGTTAACTTGATCCAATACTGTGTGCAGTGCAGACAGTGATTATCAAAGATTTTGCATTGACAAATTCTTCTCTTTCCTCTGCTCTTTTCCTTTTGATGTTGTTCTTAATTAGACAAATGACCCTGTCACCAACATATGCCATGCAGCTGACAAGCAGCTCTTCACACTTGTCGAGTGGGCCAAGCGAATCCCCCACTTCTCTGACCTGACGCTGGAGGACCAAGTCATTCTCCTCCGGGCAGGTAATGTCCCCCTCCTGTGGCCTCTGGGGTTATTCCTGGTATGCACATGCCTTCTCTTGGGCTGCATGCCATGCCAGCCAGGCTGGATGGTGAATGGGAGATCCTGAGCTGATCCATCCCTGCTGTCACAGGGCGAGCAACCCATCCTGAGCTGTGATGAGCAGTTGGCAGAGGCTGTGGATGGGGCAGTGGAATCTGCTGTTTGTTTCCCTCTTCATGCAGACGTGTAGGAGGGCTGGGGGAGAGTGAATAAATGTGCCTTGTTAATGCAATTCCTATAACCGCAGAACTTACTATGTGTGGGGCACATTAGCGTGTAACGTGCAAAATGATGTAAAGGGGTTGCTGATGCAAGGAATGTGGGGTTTTTTTGGAGGAAAAACCAGCATATTCCTCCCCCCTCCTTTGAGTCTTTTTCTGCACCTTCCTTGCTGCTGGTTAGGGTTTAGCACCCGTTGCAGTGTTGGCAAGGGTGCAGTTGGTACCTGGGGTCCCATCTCTCCTGTGAGCTGAGTCTGAAGCCAGCAGGGAGAAACAAGCTCTCCTGCTCCAGGTGGGACTGATTTCCCCCACCCCCCACCCC